CAAATACAGATGTTTTGGGACTCTGGGAATAAGACTGACAATCAAATCTTTTTAAGCCACCAACCCAAAGAGTCTTTATATGTTTCTCAGCTCTAATTGGTTGTTTTCGTTCAGGCCCAGTGGATTCTTGCCATTAGGAGCACTAGGTGGAGCCAGAGGAACCAGATTTTTTCACAGATTATCAATCTACTGTCAGGATATAGTGAAACTGTGATATTTGTATGAAAATCACCTACTGCAGCTTTAAATTAAAATAAATCAACTCCTACATTGATAATTAACCAACATTTTAAGCAGTTGTATTGTATTATAGGACTGGGCAATATAGCTGAAAGATGTATCACAATAAAATTAATTTCGAAATTGTTACTTTTTTGAAAATTATTTATGACCTATTTTTAATAAAGACCAGACACCTCATTTATAAAACGGACTTAAAATACATTTTGATCTTTTCTGATCAATTTTGACGTGAAGTAAAACCACATAAGTAGTTATTTCTTATAAAAATATAATTTCCATGTCAAAGTTAGGTTTTCTTAACATTGACATGGAAATGATCTCATCTCTAAGCAGAGTCTAGACTTGGCGCAAGTCATTTTCCTGCTGGTTATGAAGGCCTATTGCAGTGTGCAAGCTTGTGGTGAACTTTGCATTATCCTTATAAACAAAGTGACCGGAATTATGGGAAACTTGTTATAGGTAAAAGTGGGGGTGCAAGATTATGGCAACTCTTTTACTATAAAGCTCAGTTTATATATTATTTATATCATATATACAGATATTTAATTTGGGGGTCGGGACCCCCCTAAGGGTCACAAGACCTTTTGTTTTTAAGGGCTGAAAGAAAACATAAGAAATATACTACACAGTATACCTATATTAGAATATAATATGCTAAATCCATAAAATATGTCAGTCAGTTTACTTAATAATAGAAAAGGGCTCCCTTAAGGAAAAAGGTTGGGAACCACTGCCTTACAGCATACTGCTGTTAAAAAGTACAATGAGATAATAATTAGCCTGATCAACCACCGTCAGTAATCAATAAACACTCGTCAAACTAATAACTAACAGCAGTCAATGTCAGAGAAATTTATCATACTTTAGTGTTTTGTCACCACTACAGAAACACTAAAGTATGATACATGTCTATATACACAGCAGTTTGAAAAGTTCCCTGCACTCTCTGGGGAAAATATTACACCAAACTCACTTGTTAATATGTCACAAGAAATGTGACATACTAAAAATGTGTTCGTAAAAACACAGAATTCAAGAAACACAAGCTGAAGAGTGTCATATGTTGGCAGTCTTCCTGTCAATTCAGCATTAATATAATCCATAAAGATAAACTGTATTCCTTACAAACTTTATATTTTGTCTCCTCAACTCGCTCAGCATCTGTTGCACTGAGTGGGAGAAGAGCGTGGTAACCACATATGCATCTGTGTGTGTGTGTGTGTGTGTGTGTCTGTCTGTCTTTTGGTTCATGGCTATTCCTGACTTATTGGTGCAAGCATTATATAAGGGGAAAATGCTAAGGCAGGTGCTCTCAATTTCAGTCAACCTGAGATTTATAGATCACAGATATGTAAGTTCCAAATTTACTTCTGACAACTTTTGTATGAAGAACATTTTTATAAACAAGGCCCGTGGTGAAAAAAGGATGAATTTAACCGCTTTATGTATGAAGGCACAGAGATAACCATTTTAATGTTAATGTTTTGTCATACAGTATTGTTGCTGAGTACCTCTCCACCATGGACTGCCTGTGGATAGTTTCTTGAGGAATTTCAGATCATTTGTTTCTTTGTCTCTGAGTCACAATTTTTGTTTGGGGCCGTTCCTTCCTGGTGAAGGTATGGCTGAGGGTTGAGGACTCTTAAAACCTGGAACCAGCTCATTGGGCCAGTCCATGTGCTGCCAAGCCACGGGGGATTGGGATTAAGTTAGTTTTGCTTTGTATTTAGTTGTTGTTGGTGTCCATCTTGTTTGCCCCTTGTGTATTCCCTCATGTGTCACTGTATCAGTCCCGAATATACTTTTCCCCATAAGTTTGAGTTGTGAACGACAAGGCTGTTTCTGTAATTTAAATTATCACACCACAACACAAACTCCACTGATAATAACTGTTTCTTCTTCTTCTTTACAAAAAGTCACAAAACCAGGAACGTCTTACCGGCTTCAGTTTGTGGAGTAACCTGTAGTCTTTAGTTGATTAAACAGTCCTAATTGGGAGTATTGTTTTTATTTTTTTGCATTTATAATAAAAACTCTAGTAGTTTGGTGAGGTATGGCTCAACATTTTAGGACTGCTATGATTGTTAAACTCACAGAAAACCACAATGATTGATCAATGTTCACATGTGCAAAGTCACACAGAATTCCCAGGGATTGGTTGAATTTGCGTTAAATGTTGCGATCACAGTGTTCTGGAGGGACTGATTAAGAGGCTGCAACATCATTTTCATTATCAATTGATCTTTTGATAATTTCTCTGATTGGTCATTCAGTCTATAATGTCAGAAAACAGTGAAAAATCATCACATAAGTGACATTTTGTCTGACAGACAGAACAGTAGAAAACAGTAGAAGGTTTCAGTTCTCAGTTTTATTGCTTTTTGTTTTGTTTTTTAAAGCAGTAAATCCTTACAGTTGAAACGCTGCAACCAGAGGCTGTCTGGCATCCCCACATTGTAAATAACTTAAATGATTCAGCAATTATCTAAATAGTTGTTGATGAATTTCTGTTGATCGACTAATCAATTAATCAACAAATTGCTTCAGCTCTGACTGATTTTATTAGGCCTGCAACTAATGAGCATTTTCATTATCAATTAATCTGCTGATAATTTTCTCAATTCGTTGATTAATCGTTTTGTCTATAAGATGTCGGGAAAAAAGTGACAAATGCTCATCACAACCTCCTACAGCCCGATTAGTTTTGTCCGACCGACAATCCGAAACACAGAGACATTAAGTTTACTATCATATAACACAAAGAAAACCATCAAATGACATTTGAGAAGCCAGGACCGGTAAATGACTCAAATGATTCATCAATTACCAAAATGGCTGCAATTGATTGATGAACTAATTGTTTCAGTTCTATTTGATTATATGGCTTATTAATGACATTAGCCCTTTAGCCTGATAGTGCCGCTCCCTCACATACACCTATCTCCAGAGGAAAACACAGCTAGTGCCCTTCATTACGTCCTTGATTGATTGGCTGCTGATACACAAGCCTCCCTGTCTTTCCACTCCTATCCGGCAGTAAAAATGAGACCTTCCAAGCCTGCAGGGGCCTTCCCAGTGTGCACATTTGTCATGTTTTTATTATACTCCTCTATCTCTACTGCAAGCTGGCTCATAAACTAAAAAGCCTTGCTAGATCACAGCAACAGGACTGGGCTTAGCCTAGATTATTTCCTCCTGTGCATGGTCTTGTGGAGGAGACCCACTGGAAGCAAACAAATCATGTAACTGACCTCCACCACAGTCATCCACTGCAGGCAAACACTAAACTTCCTGTCCCTCCACTATAGGTGACTTTTTAACATAATCACTACACTAATCACTACGGAGTTTCCAGCCAAATAAAGTAAAACATTTTCAACACAAATTAATTGTTAGTTAGTGTTGCCCATTGTGGCTGTTCAAGTGCAGTTCTCACCAACCATTTAGTACCAGTCGGTGTCGTCCACCCTCAGGGGCTGCACTAGAAAACATATTTGGACAAGCAACAAATGTGAGATCTTTGCTTTAGCAGAAGTGTTTTCAAACAGTGTTTTTCGGATTTATCCACATCGTAGATGAGACCGTCCCTAACAGGGCTAAGGCCACCTCAGGCAGTGGAAAATGAAATACTGGATATTTGGTTTAGCCTCAGGGAAGATTTTATAATTCCATTCAGTCTGTAGACAGTTGTCAGGCCATAAAAACACAACATGATGCAACACACGGCAGGTTAAGAGGTAAGAAGTAATTCTTAGATTCCCCTGTGCTCATTGAAAATCAGATTTTAAGAAGCGGGGCCTACCAGCAGGATTTGTGACATAACAAATATTTTGAAAGTCAAACCTGGTCCAGTATCAACTTGCACAGTGTGATGTAGAAACTGAAGCCACCAGTGCACATCCCTGAGAATGGACTTTACAGTGAAGTAGGAGACATCTTGTGTTCCAGCAGGAAAATTTTAGAAATCAACAACATTTGTATATTGTGTAATGTGGAAATTAGACTTTTGTTTGTGGAAAAAACATATTATATTATATAACATATTATTGTTCCAAGCTGACTATTTGTACACGTCTTTATGTCATTCTTACAGCTGATACTATCAAATTATACCAATTGACATGAAGAAATAATTGTACCTAAGGCACAACAAATACGCTATATCACCTGAAGATCCTTGCAACTGACACCAAGCAACTGGCAACCAAATCAAGCAACACACAGACACAACCAGGAAGAAAAAGACAGGGGATGAGCTATTCACTATTGTTTTTAATTGCAGTTATTAACTATTAACTAAAGGTAGCCTCCCTCCTGCACATACACAGCACTTACAACTGCTTACTGTATCTTTGTAGATAGAATATTCTGTCAATGACCTTCCAGTCAATCAGTGCATCTGACACAATGACCTGTTGTGGCTTTACTTCATGTGGGTCTATAAAACAATGATTTATGCATGATTGTGTAATAGAATAGTACAGAATAGCTTGCGTGAGAGAGTCATTCTCTAATTATCAGCCGTAATGAATCCAGAATCCACCAGCAACCAGAATACAGATGCTCTTTTGACTAACAAATGTGGTTGCTAGTGAGGGGAGAGATAGCCACAAGGCTCATCCAGCAGGCTAATATGTGGCATTCTGGAAAAAACATGGAGAGTAATGTGACACCAATCATCCTGGCTGAAGTCCTGGTCCAATGTTTGTTTTCCTGTTGATTTTAGAATTCTTTCATAACTGAGTCCCAGAAGTGAACAAATGTCACTAGTAGATGGTCACTGGTACAGAAACTGATTACAAACAGAAAATAATAGTTGAGTGAGTTGAAGTGACTTTAGTTACCAAAATAACTTGGTTACAAGGTGAAAACTAAAAAGAGCCAGTAAAAGAAAAATGATAATGTTAAATATACATTTTAAATTTATTGAATTGGCCAAACAAAACAATGCTTGCTTATGTAGAGCTTTATATATCTTTGTAGTGACATTCGTGGCTTGTGTATGGAAGCCCAGAGAGGCAAATGAGAAAAACATTCTGATAATCAATTTTCTGGTACAAATGTAAGTTCCTGAAAAAAATTTTTGTTTTGGCCACAAAATGCTGAAGGGTGCCACTACCCGAGTACCCACCAGCTTCAGTCATGTTTTCTTCCAGGTGATTTTTTTCTGCACTCACAAGGCACATACAACGATTAGCCATAATGCATATTATGCAGCCCCATACCAACAGACGACTCCTCTGCACTGTGTGTTCTAACACATTTCTATCAGACCAGCATTAACTGTTTCAGCAGTTTGGAGCTACAGTAGCTCTTTCTGTTGGATTGGACCACACAGGCCAGCCTTCACTCCCCACGTGCATCCAATGAGCCTTGGCCGCCCATGACCCTGTCTTCCGGTTCTTTCCTTCCTTGTAGGCATTTTTGATAGGTACTGACCACTGCAGAGCTGAACACCCCACAAGAGCTGCAGGTTTGGGATGTCTGATCGTCTAAGCCATCACAATGTGGCCCTTGTCAAAGTCGCTCAAATCCTCACGCTTCCCATTTTTCCTGCTTCTAACACATCAACTTTGAGGACAAAATGTTCACTTGTTGCCTAATATATCCACCCACTGACAGGAGCCATGATAACAAAGATAATCAGTGTTATTCACTTCAACTGTCAGTTTCACAATGTGTTATGGCTGATCGGTGTAGATTGTGTCATTCTTTTGGCCTATTTAGAACACGAGGTAGTAGTGCACTTCCGTCTCTTGTGGCCAAAATGAGTATTACAACAACATCAACAAATAAGAAAATCACCCTTTTCCCCACTTTTGCACTTCAAAAAAGCTTATAAAGATGAGTTTTCACTTGTTCTTAAGTCATAAGAAGAGAAAACAATTTATGTATAGAAAATGGATCACCAGAAAGTTTTTTTCAAAATTTCAAATCCATTGATGTACTCTTTTGAATTTTGTTTGCATAAAGCCTTTAACACGCTATAACACAAATACCACAATATTTAGTTTAACAAACAAAGATTATCAGTAGCATCAGCTACACCCACCAACCCACACACACACACACAAACACTCACACTGTATAAGCGTGCAGACAGACAGGCAGACAGATACGCACACACACACACACACAGAAATTTATCATCCAGCCACAATCTCCCACACACACACGTACACACAAGAACAAAAACAAATGTGGAACCCCCAGATTCAGACACGTGGGTACTCACACTCGCTGTATTGTTGCAGCTGGCCGAACTCAGCTGGGCTCAGACATACCCAGCTCCCGTCTCCCATACTGCCTGAAGCCAGGGCCGGGGCTGTGTGTCTGAGAGTGCGTCGGTCCACGAGTGCCGCCAGGGGGGTTGATGGTTATCCTCGGGTCAGGTTGTGTAATAAGACTGAGGCAAAGAGGTTTTGGGATGTCATCTCTGCCTCTTTACAATAAGCACCTTGCTAGCACACAGGAGGTAAAAAAGTTGATATATGTGAGGCAACGTGAGCACTGGAGGAGGCAGAGAACTGCAAAGGTGATAATGTTCGATTGAGCAGGGTTTTCAAGTGTTCAGCTGAATATTGCTGAGGTGCTCCAGATGTTGAATTTGTCACAAAACAAAAGGATATATGGTCTCAGTAACTAACTAGTCCTCATGACTCAGAGATGGCACAAGGATTCTCGGCAGGTCTGCAACAGCAAACACCTTCTCTGACCTGGAGAGAGAGGCCGAGAGAGAGGCCAACGAATAGAAAAGAATAGGGTAGAGAAAACAACAACACGTAAATTAAGATGATCATCGTCATTCTCTGGACTGTATATAAAATATAAAATGTTTAAAACGGTTTCTATCAGTAGTACAGAAAAATCTGTAACATCTCAAGTCATTTTACAGATAGAAGGGGGGTGGTTGAAGGGGAAGAGGGACAGAGGCAGTAAAGATGAAAGCACAATATGAAAAAAAAGAGATTTACAGCAGAAAGTGGCAGCAGGCAAGGAGTGATGGAGCATCTGCACACTGAGGAGTGTAGTTTAATCATTGGCCTGAATTTATAGTTTTTAATCTAGTGCACTGTAGTTATATTGTTATTTAATTGCTACAGCGGATAGAGACTGAAACAACACTGATAAAATTAAGTAGAAAATACTATATATTTACAGCAGTTTAATTCAAACAAAAAAAATCTCTTTATTTCAGAAAATGTCAATTCTTATAGTAAACAAGATTTTAAATTAATTTATCCACGAGCCTGCTTCTGTATATAAGAAATGTTTTCTGTGTAGATGCAACAAAGGCATGCTCTAACAACACAGTCTCACTCCCAACTCATCAAATACTGCCGCTTGTTCAGTGGCCCTCCGCTTCAAATATATGACGCTGCAGTATTTGACGGCCTGGGAGAGACACTGGGTCGTAAATTTGATGGCAGCATGTCTTTTTCATGACAGAGATTTTGATGAATCAGCAAGAATGGCACAGGTAGCCTATAACTGATGATGTTATCTACTGCTGCACAACAGTTTGCTATGTCATGTCCTGGGCCCTGACTTGCTTTGTGTATGCTGGCTCACTGTGACACTTCAATATATATAAGTTGTATCTTTTCTGATGAGTCTAAATGTTTCTCAATAAAAGGAATCCTCAGGGGCCGTTCAAATGCTGTGTCTTTTGTGCTTGCAAATTCATTATTTTGTCATGACGTGTTGTGCTCCACAGGACTTGCTTTACCTTTTGCAAACAAGGACATAACAACATTGGGTTAAGCCAAACTGAAGATGGAGGAGCAGAAACGTAGCCATAGAAACGTAGATACCTCATTGGCCGCTGCTGTATGCCGCCACTATACGTCTGTGCGATCGCCATATTGGGGAGGTCAAGATCCACTAGTTAGCAATACTGAGAGATGCAGACTGCACTACAAAATCGACTGTAACTCGCTTAATTCTGAACCAGTTTTCATTAAATTTGGTTTGTTGTGAACACGATAAAGTGAAGGTGAT